CGTGGAGGCCAAGAAAAAGATCCTACGGGGTTGGATAAAAGACTCGGGGTCATCTACAATGTTTCGGGGCCGGGTAAAAGACTGCTCAAAAGCGACGTGGAGGTTGAAAAAAAGACGGAGCTCTTTTTCCAAACCTCCTTCTGGGGTTTGAAAAAAGATGGAGGCCGGTAAAAAGACATATCGAAGTCGAAAACAAGACAGACCAAGTGCGGGGTCTGGAAAAAGACATTTCGGGGTCGGAAAAAAGAGCAGCCCTTTATTTTGTGTTAAGAAATATCCTTGAATACAATTTGTTCTTCGGCTTTTTACCACCCTAAAGCGATTTCGTGTGGACATCTTCTTCCTTCGTTGCGAGGTGGGGTTGGAGGGCAGCACCTTTGCAAGAACAAGCAGATGCGAACAAATGCGATTTCAAGCGCTCGAAAAGTCGCAAGCTTGTCAAAATTTGTTTCGTGCATTTACGGAGTTTGGCTTCGTTTTTTCGTGCCAACACCCACCTTGAAGCCTCCCTTCGAGCCCCGCTTCAAGCCCCCTTTTCAAAACCCCCGTGAAGCCCCCCTTCATCATCAAAGCTTTCGGGTTCGTTCGAGGCTTTCTCGGCCCTGAAAATTGAGTTCAAACTCCGAGAACTTTTAAGTTCGAACTGAAGAGTTCGAACGCAGGGTTTAAGGTCAAACCCCCCGTGAAGCCCCCCTTCATCCTCAAAGCTTTCGGGTTCGTTCGAGGCATTCTCGGCCCTGAAAATTGAGTTCAAACTCCGAGAACTTTTAAGTTCGAACTGAAGAGTTCGAACGCAGGGTTTAGGGCCAAACCCCCCGTGAAGCCCCCCTTCATCCTCAAAGCTTTCGGGTTCGTTCGAGGCTTTCTCGGCCCTGAACTTTGAGTTCAAACTCCGAGAACTTTTAAGTTCGAACTGAAGAGTTCGAACGCAGGGTTTAGGGTCAAACCCCCCGTGAAGCCCCCCTTCATCCTCAAAGCTTTCGGGTTCGTTCGAGGCTTTCTCGGCCCTGAAAATTGAGTTCAAACTCCGAGAACTTTTAAGTTCGAACTGAAGAGTTCGAACGCAGGGTTGAGGGTCAAACCCCCCGTGAAGCCCCCCTTCATCCTCAAAGCTTTCGGGTTCGTTCGAGGCTTTCTCGGCTCTGAACTTTGAGTTCAATCTCCGAGAACTTTTAAGTTCGAACTGAAGAGTTCGAACGCAGGGTTTAGGGTCAAACCCCCCGTGAAGCCCCCCTTCATCCTCAAAGCTTTCGGGTTCGTTCGAGGCTTTCTCGGCCCTGAACTTTGAGTTCAAACTCCGAGAACTTTTAAGTTCGAACTGAAGAGTTCGAACGCAGGGTTTAGGGTCAAACCCCCCGTGAAGCCCCCCTTCATCCTCAAAGCTTTCGGGTTCGTTCGAGGCTTTCTCGGCCCTGAACTTTGAGTTCAAACTCCGAGAACTTTTAAGTTCGAACTGAAGAGTTCGAACTCAGGGTTCAAACACTCCCAGAACCAATGTAGGCATTTCAAAGCCCAGTCCGAATTTCGAATTGCTTGGCCATGGAGATTCCTCATGACAACGTCATTGACGATGCATCTCGCGTCCGCAGCGTGTGTCTGCGAGAGAGAGCTTCACAGAAAAGGATTAAGACGTCAGTTTGTCGACCATTTGAGCTTCCTGTAGGGCATTTCTCGTCGTTCCGTTTGGATGCAGAGCCGCGTGGACTCGTTGTTCAGTGGCACAAGGTCAGTCGCATTTGTTGCCAAACAGCAGTTTTTTCAAAAGGCGGAGTGACAATTTGAAGAGCTCCAGTTGCCACAAGTCAACCAGCCAAATCAAGGGCCGGTTTTCGGAAGTTTTTGTTTCGAAAACGTTGATCACAGTGGAAGCAGCAAAAACGACTGTAAGAAACCGCGGCCGACTCTTGATTCTGAAAACGTTGCGAATTATCACGCTGTCAATTCTGCATCCGCGATGTTGAATTGAAATTTGATACACTCGACCTGCAGTGAAACTATGGTGGATGATGTGATGTCACGTTCACGGCGTGGAGCATGGTGATGACGATGTTAATGATGGCGACCAGGTGACAAAGGAAAACAATGGTTGCGGTGATGGCGATGAGGTCGATGATGAGCCATGGCCAGCTGGATGAGGATGACTGATGATGATGGTGGTGAGGATGATGATGGCGACGACCATGATGATGATAATGATGATGATGATTGGGCTGATGAATGTGGCGACGATGGTGCTGATTTTGATCAAGAGGTGCGGTTCATCGGTGCGATTTTGATTCACGTATTGGCTGTGCACACTGTTATCTTACTTTTCCAGTGCCTGCGACTGTCGTTGCTGTTGACCCTATTCCTCCTGCAGCGACTGCGGTATGGCTGCTGTTCAGGCAACAAGCATCACAGACGTTAACATACTACATAATGCCACTGGTGAGCAGTGTGATGACAGTCGTACAAGTAGCCACCAACAGTTTCGACCTTTATCTTTCTTGCCTCCAAGAGCAAGAATTTTTTCGAGTCTTGGATGGCCTGGTGCTTTGGCGTGTGGTCACCCAGCATGTCGAAAATCGTATTGCGCATTACAGAAGACCTTTCCGCATGTTTGTTTCATGAATCGCCCCATGCAACATCAACCTTGTGCGTGGTTAGTGGTTTAAGCAGCCATGCATGACTGAGCATGGGGAGACGGTTGAAAGACGTCTACAGTGTTTCGCAGATCATGGCATGAGCCAGGTAGGCAAGACACGGTTTGCAGCTGCTTCTACGGGCACAGGACGATTGTTCTGATACATGGGCATCCAGTGAGCCTTTTCATGTGGAGATCGGTTGTTTCAACCGGCTTTGTTGTGTCGAGCAGCTGGAATGGCACGTGCCGATCCCCCAGCTATACATCTGTGCACCGTTTTTCATTACAGACATGGCAGGCTAGTTGCCATCAGGTTGGATCCGTCGATTTCACGGCTTTCTACCACAGCCCACCACAACGAGCTCAGTATTGGCGAGAGGCAGGCATGCAGTCACAAGCTACCCAAGATCCGTTCAGTTCGAGATTTCGCAGGTCATAAACAGGGAAACATGGGTTCGAAGCTCAGCTTTTCTGCTTTTGCCCACTGGCGAAGCATGCTTGCAGAGTGTCGGCACCGAGGAGCATCCGTTCCACCCGCTGAATGAGCGTTTACCGCTCCCAAACTACAAGGTGATGTCTGACTTGGAAATTCTTCGAATGCTGGAAATTCGTGCAGAGTGAAAGCGCCTTCGTTGGATCTTTCCGTGGAGGATCTGGCTTCGGCGAGTAAGGATTCACAACGGCAGCCGTGGCGTATTCTGAGGCCTCGGACTTGCATTTTGCTTGGCTCCCCCTTTCGAAAACCAGTTGTTTTCAGTGCTTTTCCAGATCTTTTCAGGAACTCCTTCCATGTCGGACGAGATGATCTTGGTGGCAGTCTCAGTTGCTAGCTATAGCGAAGTCTTCGCTGTGTCACAGCATTGCTTTGGCAACGAACAGTGATTTCGTGGCCAGGAATGTCTTACCTGGACGGAAGACAACAGCCCAGCGGGTCCCTTTTCTCATGCCAAAAAGTTTGGATTGTGAGGTTGTAGACGAGCCTGCTACGACTTCGCAGCCTGCGCGAAGGATGTCGAAACATGACTGCGGTCGACCGCTGAACGTGCACATGAGCAGCTCCCTCCCTGTGGGAAGTGCAAGGATCCAAGTCTTTGGCATTCACAAGCTATGCACATACGGATGTACGTGTGTATATATATATATATATACACACATGTACTTAAAACAAATATTCTATATGGGCATCTTTTGCTTCTACCTATATATGAGTATACATATATAGATATTTACGCATCTGCATACCTAGTTTATCTGTATATCCATATATCTGTATGTGTATGTTCTCATATATCTACATATGTATATTTCTGTGTCGAGATACATATATATATATATATATATATATACACATACAGTACAGAAGTATGTATTTACCGTATGCATGACCATCCTAGGTCCCTTTGAACACTGCGAATTTGGACAGCAGTTTGCGTTCCCGCAAAACTGCGGGCGCAGCTCGGCAAAATATTTTATTCCAACGCTGATTCAGCAGCATGTTGTGATTCCAATGATGATGATGATGATGATGATGATGATGATGATGATGATGATCTTTGAGTGGTTCTTATCGAGGCAATTCAGATGTCAGCTACCATTGCATCGATGAGAGGGGCCAGCGACTTCGGAAGGAGCCAGCCGCTCAAAGGGATATGCTCTGCACACGTACATGGCATCATTCTGGACCATAACTGGGGCTTGTGATTTTCAGCCAGGTGACAAGCTGCCAAGAGTTTGTGCTCCTGCATGCAGCAACAACCGTCCAGGCACCGACACAAAGACAGTCCATCGAATTTCAGGGGTTTCAGCTGCACAGGTGGTGTGAAAGCCCAGCGACGATGTGATTTGCCACAGGCTGGGGCTCCTCCAGCGTGCCTGCCTTGGCTTTGCGCCCCGAGCTGAGCATGGTGCGTTCCAGAAATCTCAGCCCAGAATGGCATTTGATCTGCTTCAGCTTTCAGGCAATGGCGATGTTCAGCGGCCTCCTTCGTTTGCGCGTATCCTCAACGTGTAAGTCCACATAGTGACGTAGTGCAGATGACGAAGTCACCATGCAATAACTCCGCCGCGACTGGCAACTCAGCGTCGGCAAACGGAACTTGGAAGATGCGAGATGATCCAAAGAAATGTCAGTTCTGGTGCTGCCGCGAGTCAGCTGTGCTATCAGTGAGATCTTGCTGTCGGTAAGGAGCCGGCCTGCACGCAGGGTATGAAACCGTAAGCTTGTATGATTGACAGCGAATGATTCGCAGCCGTTAGGCAGCTTGGGTCCTTCTGGCGGAGGGGTAGCAGGGTAGCAGTGCCTCTCGACGCTAATGACGCATGCCAAAGAGCTGCCAGCTTGGTGTGTGTTTGACTTGCGTCCAAGTTTGAACAAACAATGTTGAGGTCAGGTCGGGTGACACTGATAGCTGCCAGAGGCATTCCTGAAATCCGCAGCGGTGTGGCTGTGCAGCCGGCAACTGAGACAAACCTCATGCATAGCAGGTGGTAGAGTGAGTGCTGAAATCAAGAATGACAACAATCAGCTCAACACGAGATTCGCAGCCGAGGCTTTGTTGTCTTAGTTCCGTGAGTCTACATGCAGCGAAGATCTATCTTTGGTGGGATCCGGCCTTGGAAGTTAACTTTCTGTGTCTGAACATGCGTAGTCAGTTGTTCAGAGCTGCGGCCCAGGCGAAAATCCAAAGCCTTGGCAAAAGATGTTCGCTTGCAGGCCTTCTGCATGCACTGGCACCAGTCGCACGACAACATTTTTGAGCGGTGAAGTGAGCTCACTCCTGTGTCTTCACCTGTAGCGTTTTCAGGTGAGGGAAGAATCCAAAACCCCTGTTGACATTGAGACTCAAGTCAAGTCGCCTCGGCACGTTTCGTTTGAAAAGCTGATGCTGATGGTGCGCATGTTGCTCTCGCGGCGTCGGCGGAGTTTGCTTGAGGCAGTTGGTCCAGCAGCATGGTCGCCTGCATGCGAAGACATTGACGTTCATGAACCACCAAGCCTTGGATTGAAGCTCAGAAGTGACGGCGCATGTTGTCGGACTTCGAAGCCGTGCTGACTAGACATTGTCAGGCTTACCGAGACATGGACAAAAATGAAGACGCATTGGAAGTGTACCGAGAGGCGGGACACTTTGATTGAAATCCGGCATAGACTTGGACGGTTTCCGCCAAATTTCCCTCTTGTCAGCATTCTCCGCCAAGAGCTTCAAGTGAGTGTCGCTTGTTTCTGGTGCGTGCCAGACCAATCAAGGAGCTGGACTTGTTCCTGACCTAATATGTTAGCCAAGGTGCACGACGGATGCAAGCAGACGCTGGGGATGCAGCACCCCTACACGTGCGAGCCCTATCGGGGCGCTCGATGCGGGGCACCCATTTTTTTGGTACTTTTATTCTATTTTTATTTTTTGCCTTTTTTTTGCCCTTCCGTGGGAAGCAAGGAAGGAAGCACGGAACAAGGGAAGGACTTTTCTTTTTTTTGGGGGGGGGTTGGGGGTGGGGCTGGGGGTTTCGGGTTTAGGGGGGAGTTGCCTACGTTCCCGGGTTTCAAGAGTTGCCTACGTTCCCATAGGAAAACTTCTAGTTTATTTATATTCCCCTAGTAAAACCAGTCTTGTATCTAGTTTTAAGGTGTAAACCAGGATTTTCTCGATACGTCCATATCTACATCCATGGACCTGTATTTGTCTATGTTTACTTCGTAGGAGTAAACATAGACAAATACAGGTCCATGGATGTAGATATGCACGTATCGAGAAAATCCTGGTTTTCCACTTCACAACTAGATATAAGATTGGTTTTACTAGGGGATTATAAATAAACTAGAAGTTTTCCTATGGGAAGGTAGGCAACTCCCCCCTAAACCCGGAATCCCCAGCCCCACCCCACCAAAAAAGAGGACTCCAAAGAAAAATTAAGGGCCAAACAAAATCTCCACCCTCGATGCGCTGGCCAGAGAGTTGTCGCGGGGGTCAAGGGAGGAACCTTTTGTTGCAGAGCTGCGCACTGGCGAGGGAAGGTTTCTTGCAAGCCTCTTTTTGAGGCAGTTGCCCAAAGCTATGGCAAGCCCCATCGGCAAACTCCATGATAACTTGGCCCGCAATGGCCAAAGGGAACTTGTTATTTTATGTTCGTTGTCTTTCTGACAGCATAAGCCATGGCCAGCAGTCGAACACCACCAAAAGTCGTGGCAGTTCTCCTCATACTCGCCACATATCAGGTGCAAGTGTTCCCGTTATGTAATGTATCTGAAAAGCAAGGCCAACAGAAGATTCGACTACCACGTTCATAAGGGAAGCTGGTTGGGTTGTTCGGAACAGTTGGAAAGATGGTGTGTACCACTAGCTAGTCACTAACTCAAAGGTTTGCAGGAACAGACGGCACAGAGACAAGCAGTAGCAATGTGGATCGATGTCACAGCCCGTTTCCGTTGAGGCTTGCAAGCATTTCCAATCTGGCGAACATACTCTTCGAAATGGACCGACTGCAGGAGGCGGAAGACGGGTGAATAAAGAGCCGGTTTTTCACTAGCATATCGTGCAGGCAAGGCCTCTGCTGGAGGAGGCACTCGAGAGGCAGTCGGAAATGCTGGGCTCCAGGCCGCTGCAGTTTTGTGTTTTGAAATTGGCAATCTGTTACTCATTTTCTACCCGCTAGGCATCTGGACACATTGCAAACTGCGCACAGCTTGGCACTCCTGTTGGAAGAGCAGGGGGAGTTTCACAAGGCACGGAAACTTTCCTGAGCAAGATGTGCCTTGCTTCCATGGGTTTGAGATGAGCCAAGGGGCAGTGATTGACTCGTGAAATCAGACCGTCCGTCGCGACGTTGCTTCGATCGCGTGGTATGGTTTTCGGCTTCACCCCGCAGCTCAAATCCATGCGACCAGCATCAACATGCAAGCCCATTCAAATCCCATGGCTCAGATGTCGGAGGTGTATTCGCCAGATCTTAAGTAGCCTCCTGTTGAACATTGTGAGCTTTCCCCATGTGCCTTCCGCTGTACTTGCTTCAAGCGGAGTAGACAACACAAGGAAGGCAACTGCGTATCCTTTGTGTCTGTTTCGAACGACTAGTGTTTTGATCTCCCTGCTGGCACAATGGCGCACGGCATGCGTGAGTTGCCATGCGGTCTTGTGGCACCTGTCTTTGTGATGGCCCCGATGGTGAAACAAAGTGAGCGACCTTTCCGAGCAATGGTACGGTCCCACGGCTGCTCGCTTTGCTACACGGAGATGTTCATGGCAGACGAGTTTGCCGCCTCAGCTGAATATCGCAGGAGCGCGCTTGGGGACGGAGTTGATGATGCGGATCATCCTCTTTTCGTTCAATTTTCTGCGAATGATCCGCAAGTGCTTCTACAAGCTGCTCTTGCAGCTCAAGAACTCGGGGCAACTCAGAAGCCACACATGACACCACTCATGTATTCTATCACTGTATCACTGCCCTGTGTCACTGACCATGCGGGTGTTTTCTTCGTTTCAGATATGGTGAGTTTGCTGGGTGGGTTTTTAAGGCAGATGGTGTCGACCTCAATCTGGGCTGCCCTCAACGGCGAGCGAGAGAGGGCAGATATGGAGCTTGGCTGGCCAACGATGAGCATGAGTGGCCGATGATTGCCGAGATGATTTCCGCCTGCAGCCGATGTGCAGAGCTTCGCATTCCGGTTTGCTGCAAAATTCGTTTGCAGCATACGTTGGCAGGGACCATCAAGTTTGCCAAGCTCCTGCAAGAAGCCGGATGTCCGCTCCTGGCGATTCACGGACGCAAGCTGCTCTGCAGCAAAAGCAAGCACCGTGAAGGAGCCGCCGATCTCGGTGCGATCGCTGCCGTCCGAGACGTTGCTTGTCAGAGGCAAATGGCAGCTTACGGGAACTTGTTGTAGGTTTGACAGCATTTGGCCTGAGGGGCTTTCGGGTTGTGGAAGTTTTAGGCACTGCGGATCCCGGTGTTCACGAATGGCAACGTAAGATCTCCGGCTGACATCTTTCAGAGCCTTGGCCGGTGCAGAGAGACTTGTCGCTTTCATTTCCAAGCTTCCGGTCCGTAACCACTCTAGGCCAGAATCTGTGTGTCCTGCATCAGCTTCGCAAACAGCAACGCAGAAACATGAGTCAAGCCAACCGAGCAGAGGATGAGCAGATTCGGATATAAGAGCCAGAGACGCATGGAGAGCTCAACGGAACACATTATGCAGGACAAGAAAGACAAGACAAGACGAAGGTGTGCAAAGACCAGCCAGAGCTTTGCTTACGGAAGGTGTCCTTGCACACCGAAGCCTTCGGCGTTGTTCGCCAAGAAAGCGTAGAGGCTTCGGCTTGGGCCTGGTTTGGGTTTGTTGCTGCTGTGTCGACACGGACAGTGCAGCCTTTAAGGGAAGCACGATGCCTGACCAAACTCCTCGAAGTGAGAGATCATGATTGCAAGCCTTTGAAAGCCGTGGAACCTTGCCGTCCCCGGCCTGGCGGAATCTGAAACCACAAAACTCAGCCTAAGCCCAAAAGTCATCCAAACGAAGCTCGTGGTAGTTCCTCAGAATCCCAGCCACTTTTGTTCCTGTCATCTTTTGCCGATTCTTTTGTTAGTTTGTGCGTGTCTTGTCTTGGTCTGGCTCTGCAACCGAACCGAAGTGCAGGCGCATGGATGCATGTGTCCAGTGTTTGATATGCATCTCATCTCCAAAGACTGCCCAGCCAAGGAACTTGAAGGCAACGCAATGTGAGGGCATCATGTGTGCAGAGCAGCTTCTTAACGATCCAGCCCTTTTTCGTCGAGCCCTCGATTGGCGACCAGGATTTCCATGTCCGGGGCCGTCGTCGGAAATGTTGGTCGACGAGTATCTGGGTCTCTGTTGCGAGTATGGCGCCGAAGACGAGGCGGTCTCGTTTTCTGTTTGGGGTGCAACCAACGGCCATGTGATCCGGGAGCATGTTCACAGGACGGGAAGACGAACGCTGTTCAGCACAGACACTTGTCGTTGCTGCATGTTTCATTTCAGGTCATAATGACTCAATATTCCGCGATTGTGCAGCTGTGCAGGATGCGCTCTCTCAAGGGACCCGACTCTTATTTGTCACTGCCTGGTAAGCTGCTTGACTGCATGTCTTCACCAGTGCGAAGTCTACGCAACTCGCACGTGGTGCGAGGGTGAAGCTCAAGCTGAGGAAGCGCTGTTTGGAGCAGACAGACGCAGATTGCCGGCAGGTGAAAGAAAAGGGTTCTGCGGCGTGCTCCGCAACGAGCCTTTCCTCATTCACGAGTTTTTGGTTCCCGTTTGATCTCTTTGGGAAGATGGAATGCAGGCCGAGCCTTTGTACATACGAGCCTATGAGGGCCAAAAGGCCAGCTACGGTGCGATTGCAGTGTCGGTTCTGCGACGGTATCTGCCAGTCCGCGCTCGGTCCCAAGAATCCGACGGTGTTGCAAACCGGGGTGAACCTCGCTGGTCTGAAGCAGGCCGTCTATCTTCCTTTGATTTTTGGGTAAAGCTGAAAGCTGAGAAAGCTCACAGCTTGAAAGGTGCTTGGGAAGCTGCAAGAGGCAGAGGACCTGGACAGAGAGGCCTAGGGGCCATTGTACTTAGGCCTCTGCACTTAACCCTAGTTTAACCCTAGCCCTTCAGTGTGGCGGTGGCGGTGCTTGATCCTCTTGTCGCTCTCCCTGCCTCCCCTCTCTCTCTGTCTCTCTGTCTCTCTCTCTCTCTGTCCCTCTGTCTCTCTGTCTCTCTGTCTCTCTGTCTCTCTGTCTCTCTGTCTCTCTGTCTCTCTGTCTCTCTGTCTCCCTCTCTGTCTCTCTGTCTCTCTCTCTCTCTCTGTCCCTCTGTCTCTCTGTCTCTCTGTCTCTCTGTCTCTCTGTCTCTCTGTCTCTCTGTCTCTCTGTCTCTCTGTCTCTCTGTCTCCCTCTCTGTCTCTCTGTCTCTCTCTCTCTCTCTGTCCCTCTGTCTCTCTGTCTCTCTGTCTCTCTGTCTCTCTGTCTCTCTGTCTCCCTCTCTGTGTCTCTGCCTCTCTGTCTCTCTGTCTCTCTGTCTCTCTGTCTCTCTGTCTCTCTGTCTCTCTCTGTCCCTCTGTCCCTCTGTCCCTCTGTCTCTCTGTCTCTCTGTCTCTCTGTCTCTCTGTCTCTCTGTCTCTCTGTCTCTCTGTCTCCCTCTCTGTCTCTCTGCCTCTCTGTCTCTCTGTCTCTCTCTCTCTCTCTCTCTCTCTCTCTCTCTCTCTGTCTCTCTCTCTCTCTGTCTCTCTCTCTCTCTCTGTCTCTCTGTCTCTCTGTCTCTCTCTGTCTCTCTCTCTCTCTCGCTTCTCTCTCTCTCTCTCTCTTTTTCGTCTTGCATGTCAGCTTGTGGCGGCTGTAAAGATTTGAAGAGGCTTACGTCACATTGCAACTGTGGTGAAACAGTCGGTTGCTCTTGCACAGGTTGCATGTGTTACGCCAAGCAACCCTGGCCCTAGCAGAGCCTGCGGATTGTTCTGCATGGGGCACATTGAAAGCAAGATACAGCTTTGAGGCAGATCAACAAACCAAACAGTCGAAGATACCACTTGGAAAATGACTGTACTTTCCGCACATCTTCGAACATCACGCTCTGTTGTTGCTCTTCTGACTAGCGCTCTCGTGCTGTTCTTGGTTTAAAGTGTCGGATGTTGATGTCGTTGTTGGCGAGTGGGACAACGGAATCTCCCAAGATGTTTGCAACTGTGTGGTCGTGATTCGCGAGTGACCAATGTCGACTTAAGTCTGTGTCTCTCGCAGTCTTTTTGCCCGAGATGCGTGCACATATGTCACCGCTCAAAACTTTGAACTAACCAACTCGAAATCACCAAGCGAATTCCTTTGTCGAAGATGGGTCTTACAAGAATGTGGCAGTTGCGGATTAACATTCTCGGTATTGCTGGGCTGTCCGGCTGATTTACACAGGATAAACACAGTTCCAGATTCACCAACACCGACGGGGGAGACTTTTCAGCCCGGTGTTTGTTCTGCTTCTGTCGCAGTGTCTGGCCTTGGGCGTGATCATGGTAGAAGCTGGAGGTGATGGCTGGATGTCGAGAACTTCTTGGCGACCGCGATGTTCAGATGCTTCAGAGTGGAAACTCTTTAGCAAGGCTGTGACGTGCTGTCCTGTTCAGAATGTCGGACCAGTCCTCTCTTCATTTTGCAACATGTTGCAAGGCTGCTTCATGAACAGGGCATGCTGAAGGAAGCCGAGGAATTGTTGCAAGAGGCAGGCTAGTTGTGAGACATTGCGCGGTGTTGCTTTGCATGTGGTTCAGCTATGTTGCAGTAGTGTTCAATAGTGGGCACACCACATTTGTTGTCCTCGCATGCTCGTCTTGCTACTGTTGATACGATTTGACTTTAAGAGTTGACTCTTAAGATCTGAGCAAGCTCACATCGTGACTCACAACCCATCACTTCGCCTCCCAACGAAGCAACCTCAATAGCTTATAGAATTAGAGCCAACCTGGCGGCACAGCTTTAAGGTGCTGCAGTTGAAGCAAAACCGAGGGAGAGAGCATCTTCCGAAGGGCTTTCGGGCATCGTGCCTCAGTTGTCACAACGGGCTCGGTTGCTTTGTGCGTGTGGCAACTCAACTAGATTTCAGTCACAAAGTGGTGGCTCTGCCGTGTGTCATAGAATGCTGACGTCGCTGCTTCGACATTCTGTCTCTTACCTGACCTGCCTGGAAGGTGCTGCAGGGTCGCATAGAACTTCTTGGAGACAGGGATCCTGCAACCTTGACGAGCCTGAACA